AATGATGGTGCCAACTTGGGCCAGTGAAGCGACATCCTCCACAGCTAGACTGAAGAACAAAAATGACAGCAACTTGTCTGTCCCCCTTCCCCCTATTCCCCAATAAAATCTTTAAAAAAAAAAAAAAGCAAGAAAGAAATCAGCTTATGGAAATTACTCCCATTCCTTTCCTCTAAGAGCCCAGTCAGGACTGGCTGATTGTACCTCGGTGAGGACCTTTTCTCACTATCAGCCCACACGATAAATGCTCAGCAGTGATGACACTGGAGGCACCTGCCAGACAGCTGACCTAGGTAAGCCTTTCTGACCTGGTACACATCACAGGAAACAAGACGACTGGAGCTCTAAGTCACAAAGAAGGATGGTTAATACTCTTTAGAAAAGGAATCAGTATCTACCCTGACCTCCTTGTTAGATTTCCTAGCCCTTAAAAGTGTGTGTGTATGTATTCATAGTAATTGCCAAGAATCTTTAAATCCTCTAGTTTTCAAAATCATTTTTGCCAAAGTAGGAGAATAAATACAGCTTTCAACCGTCATAACTCCAGTTCCTGAACGTGGTATAATTGCCGGGATGTGGTAGGCATCGTACATGAAGTTAATTTACATAAAATGGCACAGCAACAACAACAAAAAAGGCCATTTCATCTAACACCCGCAAGACTAGATATTGAAAGTGCTCCATAAACTATTAACTTTCTGCACTATTTATTTCAACAGAGTAGAATCAGTGCAATGGAAAGAATACTGGTGAAAAGAAATAGTTCAATAAGAACTAAATCCATTTTATTCTGTAAAGGAAAATAGTTCAACTGTCAACACTTTTTAGGAGTTCCCCCGCAATATGCCCTGTTTTGTATTCTGATGAAAACCGGTCAACTGCTAACTTTGAAACAAGGTCACTCAAGGAAAGGAGCTCATCTCCAAATACAAACCAGTACACCTCAGATGCTGGGACAGGTCAGGAGGCAGTCATTACTTTAGCAGCTATTTCTGTGGTGATAGCAAAGACAGAACAACTTTATAAAGAATGTTTAATAAGTAAACATTTTCCTTTTCATTTTTATTTTTTTTAGCTGAGCCATCCTGCCACCTGTTGGCAGCTCAGCGACAGCTCAGCTCGGGCCGGGAATTGAACTGGCAACCCTGTTGCTCAGAGCTCGCACTCTTGAGCGAGCTCTTAACCAACTGAGCCACTTGGCCGGCCCAACATTTTCCTTTTCATTCCATTAGATTTATAAATGCAACAGTGATTAAACACTCTTTCCACCATGAACTACAATTTCTTAATTTGGGGGAAGTCTGGCTTTTATGTATGATTTTTTGTCTTTCCCTCAGGGATACTGATGTGTTACTAACCATGTGTGTTGCCTCTGCTTTTGCCACTCTGATATTCAGAATCAAACCTGCAGGGCATCCCAGTTGGGACACCCTCTCATTTTGAGAGCTGTAACTTTCTGCTCTAATAAAACTATCCTCTGCGACAAACTTAAAAAAAAAAAAGAATCAAACCTGCAGTCACACCCCAGTAGCCACCTGAGAACTTTCATCTTCCCCATGTGCTCTACTTTCCCCCGCATATCAACATTCCAATAAATTGACATTTTTGCTCATCCTACTTTCTTTATCTTTCGATGTCTGACACCACTTTATCGCATCTATTTTTAGTTAGGGTCAGACTTTTGCAGAACAAGCAAGACATAAACAAAATATTTTAAAGTGTATTTAAAAATACAAATGTGACCATAGTTCTTTCACCTGGATTCCTTCTTCCTATCATTCTGTACTAACGCATGCAGAATAAAAGCATCCAAGAACCCGGGAAGGCTGACAGATTCCCTTCACACACTTACCAGGAGCGATGGTCTCCAGCGTATCGGAGCTGACCTTGCGAGTGCTTGTGCAGTGATGCAGGGTGGAACCCGAAAACACCAAGTAAAATACTACATCATCCTCGACTTTGTCCTCTTCAGCAAGCAGTACAGTAACAACACAGTCGCCCTAGGAAAGAGGAAGACAGAGCAAGTTCGCGTTAGTGAGGCTCCACTTGAGAGTCTGTCTTTTACAAAACCATCAAATTTAGGGGGAAAGCAAATGTGTCATCTAAACTGTGCCCCACTCTAGTCCATTTATACAAATATAAACACTGACTGCATATCTGTCGGAAAGGATTGAGAATACAAAATAACCTAAAAATAAGATTTCTGTTCTCTTTAAGCTTACATTTCAGTGGAGGTGGCTAGACACACAAGTAAATTAACAAAGTAACAGTTGGTATATATTTACCTGATGAATAGGGGGGAAAAGGGAGAAATCCAGGAAGGTGCAAAAATAAGGCAGAGAGGATGGGGCCGGACTACTGATGAGTTACATCCTTATACTCGGAATGCCCCTTAACCTGTGTTCCACTTGCAGCAACAGTTCTCTAAATTCTACATCCGACAGATCACTGCCAAGTCCACCCATTCTCTAGCAAGGTGGAGAGCATCTCACAGAGCTGGCCTGGAAACGGCCGAGTGCAAAGAGCAAAAAAGCTGGGCTTCAGGCAAATCTGGGTTTAAACTTCATCCACAAAGACTTTACTTACAACCCTCTAAACCTGAGTTTCCTTGACTGTATAAATGGAGATAATACCTTCTCCTCTTACAGCTAACACATGAAAACTCTTGAAACACAGTCGGCTCTCAGTCTATGATAACATTCTTTATCTATTAGGATGGGAGGGTCACTTTTCTTATAATTTGTGTTTCCTGACCGTCTGAAATCCCTCCCCCCAATTAAACCCTTGGAAGCAGACACAAATCTTGAGCCAGTAACTTTGCCCATGACTCTGCAACTCCTTAGAAGTTAAAACATCTCTGCCCTCGATTTGCAAATACTCTTCTAGCCGTTTTTATATGTTAGTTTTTAAAATCAAGCTCAGTGGTTAAATGATAAGGGTGTTCTATGAAATAAAATCCTAATCACCAATCATAAACATTATATCATTCATGTTGTAACCATAAAGAAAAGATTTTAAAGCACTGGGGCTCAGTACTGTTAAATCTTCATAATGCTCTATGGGGAAAACAAGCCACAGAAGGCCAGGCCACGTTAACATTCAATAGGGGAAGGAGGATTCTCATTATTACAGCATGGTTTCCTCCTTTCCATTTCAGAGACAGCCAACGCCAGGGAGCCATGCCACCCGGTGGCCACAGCTGACTGGGCCCAGCAGCAAAGCAAAGCAAAGCAGCTGGTGGTGTTTCCTAAACACCGAAAACAAAAGATCTTGAAGTCAAACCTCGAATCAAGTCTTTTAGCAGAAAAGGCTCCAATAAGGTTGATTATGGACACAGAGTTCGAAGCATTTCCCAAAGTCCTCAATGTCTATTTCTTATGTCATCCCCACTGCTCTGTGCAGCGCCCTGTTGAGTGAGCGTGGAATAAGTCAGGATGAACTACGCATAAGCTGTAACGTCCTCCTGTGAACGGTGAACTGGCACGTTCTTAGCACAAGCAGCAGCACAGCTGGTAGAACATAATTATCACCAACTTCAGTCACGATTTAGAATTATATTTTAGACTCGTGTAGAAGTCCCTTTCTTGGAACCATTTTTTAAAAACTTAGGCTGGTAAAATGTTTAATATCCTTTGGAATGAAAAACCACAACCAGTTAAAATGTCTGCAGCACACATGAGAAGAGCCATCTTCTCAAGGTACTGAAATGCCATTGTAACCTGAAAGAAAAAACAAACCAACTGTAAATTAAAGTTCTAAACTTTCGCCCTTTAGAGCACAGGTTGGCCAACTATGGCCCATGGGCCAAATCCAGCCATCTGCTTGTTTTTGTATGGCTCGTAACTGAGAAAGGTTTCTACATTTCTAAAGGATTGGGGGGGGGAAAATCAAGAGAGAAATATCTTTAATGTGTGAAAATGATATGATACTTGAGTTTCAGTGTGAATAAATAAAGTTTTATTGGCACACAATGTGCCCATTTGCTTACACACTGTCTGCGGCCAATTGTGCACTCGAACGCATCGCTGAAGAGATGAGTGGTTGCCACAGAGACGTACAGCCCTCAAGCCTAAATTATTTACAATGTGGGCTTTTACAGCAAAAAGGCTTTTTCATTTAGGTATCTAACCTGGAATTCTAAGAATATATCTTCCTTTTTTAGATCAAGGATTTCCTCTCCACGTGAGACCCAACATCTTGGTGGGAGACTCTCTGGGCCCCCCCCGAGGTACTAGTGGTATCTGGAAACTTCTTTTAACTAGGGTCAGCGGAGAAGGCTAACAGGCAGTTGAAATCCTTCTCACAAAGTTCTCAATATCAACCTCTTTTTTCATTCCCAAGACAAAAGTAAAGAAGTTTCAAATTGCTTGCATAGCTTTGTTGAATAGTTTGTTTTTTTAGCATTAAGTCAAACTACCCAAAATGTGAAGGAGAAGGAAACATAGAAGCCTCATTCACTTCAAAGCCACTTGAAATTTACATTCCGAAGGCACTTGGAACTGAAGTACCTGTTTTCCTTGAAGGAATATCTCTGCATTCTGATAACGTCGCTGAGAGCAAACATCAAAAATTCTTACTCGGCATTTCCACCACATGACTCCAATTTTACAGCGGGAGTACCAGGCACCTAGTGTTACTTGAGATGGCCTTGAAAGATTAAGTGAGTGGAATGGTGACTCCAAAACAAAAAACGAAAAACAGATCTCAGGAAGAATGTTTGTGGAGGTGGGTGCTTTAACCACGCCCTCCTTTAGGCATACCCCTTGCTAAATGATTTTGCTGCAGCTCAAGGAAAGGACCAGCCCCACGGATAAAAACATAAATTGATCTGACTGCCCAATTACCAAGTCTGTCATGTTTCTAACTACAACAGATAAACTTATTAACAAGGCCAATTTACAAAGCAGTCTTGATATTTTAGTTTGATCCGACCCCAGGAAGAGAATGTATCTACATCTCCACTTCTCCGAAAATCTAAACTCAACAAACACAGCACTCCCCTTACAAAGGTATCTACACATTTCTTCATTAATGAGAAATGTACCCTTAAGCCTGACAATTTTTCCGGGCCTTAGTTTTGCTGACAGATGACATAAGAACTCATAGGAAAGACAATCTGTACTAGGCCCCATTTTGTAAATACAGGTGCATTTACATATATGCATTATGTATGCATATATGCATTAGTCCTAAATGCTACCAATCAATCCATTTACTTAGCAATCAAAACAGGGTTTTAAATGGTAACTAGGGTCTCAGTTTTCTCATTTTGACTCATTTATATAGTAGATATAGTGTGTTAATAGCACTATAATCACCTTTATATATATTTATTAATAAGTAAACAAAAATCCACCTAACTATCTATCCTGGAATTCTAAGCAGAGACCTTTCCTTTCTAGATCAACTATTTCTTCTCCACGTGAGGCCCAACTTCTCACTGGGAGACTCTCCATGATCCAAGATGCTAGTTATGTATGGGGCCTTCCTTTAACTGGAGACAGTAACTTGACTAGGGAAAAAAATCAAACAACGAAGAGAAAGGCACCTGAGGGATGGGAGAAAGTGAATTACAGTGTGAGGCTGGCTGGAAGGGACAAGGCCTTGGAAATAAGATGGTAGACGGAGGTCAGGGAAATGAGATTGTCAGGAAGTTTTATGAGAGAAACAGTGAAAGGAAGGCTAGCACTGATGTCTTAGGTAGCAAGACAGTGTCTGCCATAAGGTTTCTGAAGGTGGGCCCCATCAGCAGCAAGATAATTGCAGTGGTGCATGCTAGACCAGGCTTGTACAGGCTCGTGTGAGCTGATTACTGTATTGTCAGGAATTCTGCAAGCCAGTTATTAAAAAAACGCAGCCACTATTAAAAATTAAACAACATAAGCTTATAATTAAAATATGTTAGGGGGGCCGGCCGAGTGGCTCAGTTGGTTAAGAGCTTGCTCAAGAGTTTGAGCTCTGAGGAACAGCGGTTCGATTCCCGGCCCGAGCTGAGCAGCCGCTGAGCTGCCAACAGGTGGCAGGATGGCTCAGCTTAAAAATAAATAAATAAATAAATAAATATGTTAGGGGCCGGCCGAGTGGCACGTTGGTTAAGAGTTGGCTTGGGACGCCAGCTCTGAGCAGCAGGGCCCCGGTTCGGATCCCACATGAGGGCCAGTGACACTGCGCCCTCTACATCTAAGATGGTAAACAACGGCTCGACCTGGAGCTGGGCTGCCTGAGTCACCGGCGACAGCATAGGCTGCAGCCCCTGCTGCAGTGGGCTGCCATAAGCTACTATGTTTGGCTGGCAGCCAGAGTGAGCTGCCAAGAGTCGCCGTGAGCGGCCATCCAGGGAAGAGCGCAATGATAATACCAACATGGGCCAATGAAGCAATGTACTCCACAACTAGACTGAAGAACAAAAGGACAACAACTTGTCTGTTCCCCTTCCCCCAATTCCCCAGCGCTGTTCCCCTTCCCCAATTCCCCAATAAAACCTTTAAAAATAATAATATGTTAAAGACAAATGTAATACACACTCAAAACTCATCACTTTTTCATTATTTTACTACATCCTAATATTATCTGTGCTCTTGAGGTTTGCATCTATTGTGTTTACATGGTAAGAATTCTATTATAAAGGTGTGACTGCGTTTCTTACCAACACTGCATTCAATGGTGTGCCATTGAGAGCTTGAAGTCAACCATTATGGGAGTATTTACACCACTGAAATTGGCAAATGCTACCAATCAGAGACCCCCCACCCCTGCCTGCCCTTTTTAACCATCATATCACTGAGGCCAGGTCAGAAGGTGGAACGGGGGAGGATTTCCACAGGGAAAGCAAGGATTTGCCAAAGCAAGCCCAATCAAGGGGGTGGGGAGGGAAGAAGGGGGTATGGCTTATGGGGCATAAAAGTGGAGGGCTTGCTGTTAAGAGAAAACCCTGGGCAAGTACAAAGCATCTCAGGTTATGGAAAACAAGTGCTGCCATAATTATGCTCACAAGAGGTCG